ATATACATACTAGGAGAGAGAGAGAGAGAGAGGTAAGACGAGAGAGAGGGAAAGACGAGAGAGAGAGAGAGTGAGGGAGAGTGATGGGAGAAAGAGAGAGATCAGTAGAAGTGTTGTGATTCGTGAATCTCGCATCAAATCATCATTTTTTTTGCTACAGATTTATATATATATACATGTTTTATTATTTTTCGAAAGAGGCAGTAACGGTGCTTGTGATTTTTGAGTTTCATATGGCCGATTGAGAAGCGTGCAGCAAGGTACGTAATAACTTTCTACATTCCATAACCAATTCATAGCTCATAACTCTGCTTTCGAACAAGTGGGTCCCAGGCCTGCTTAATCAGAGATAGATTGGCTAGATAGGCTGCTATGTTCTTATGGGGCCGTGAGTTCAATGTGTGGGTATGTTTTCCCCACTCACACTAACACGCATGGAACCTCTATTTGATAGACAAGTAGTAGCAGAGAAAAGAGTCTCTTACGGCTGGTCGCGATGCGCACAACAAGTATTCGCTCCCTATTGAGTACGCTACAATTTCAGAGTGGAAAGTACCAATTATAGTATCCGCACGTAAGTAAGTATGTACGTACGTGAAGATCTGTGTGTCTGTTTGTCGGTCAGTAACGATTCATTTTAACAATCCGTTGATATCACTCAGGTCGATCTCAGATAGAACCTGGGTACCGTTGCGTTTCCGCAATACAAGTACTTTATAGTTTCCGCGACTTGAGGGGTAGGTGTGTAATTGTGAGATATGATGTTACAGTGGAGAGCATACGTACTTGCAGCTATATGAAATACCAACAAATAAACGACAAATCGACATCGACCAGCTTGCTGAGACGTCTATAAGAATAAATGTCCTTCTCCTTATGTGCTTATGTGTAAGTGTGCGAACGCAAGACCCCACCCTCCCACAGGCCATGGCCTCCTAAAATCCCTGAAAATACAACCCTAAACTCTGGAAATATAACCTAAGTGTCCTAAAATATGACTTAAACCCCTGGAAATTACTGGGAAAGCCCGCCAGATTGTATATAGGATGGCGCGCAGATATCGATCCATTCATATGCACAAGTTATTGTATGTACAAATATCTTTTACCTGAGTGAGATCAAAGAAAGACACTTTCGCTTACTTCACAACTATATGATGTAGTTTCGATGCTTGCACTTTCCGTGAAGAACGATACCGAAGAAGTGAATACACACACGATGATATCATAGCCCTGCCTTAGTGGTGTTCATATGCATACAACGAAGACCATCGAAACACATTGCGAAACGCTATTTCGCTGGGACACATCTCCAGTAGTGCACAACTGTAGAGTACAGTTAGAGATAGGGAACCATCATGACGTCCAATACCTATCATACCGTGTCATCGTTAGACCTTTCAAAATTGTCAAAAGGTGACACCATATCCCATGGCTGCTTCAAGGGCCGTGTGCTTTCGCGCATTGTCACGAATCACAGGCTTAGATACGAACTGCAGGATGTGTCTGGGCCTAACGCCAATGTGTACTTTGCGCACGACCGTGGTTTGTTCGTTATGGCTGACTTCAAGCTCTCCAAGGAAGAGATGGATTTGCTTAACAATGCGGGACCCCACACTCAACAAGACCCGCTATGTACGACAACTGAGGGACATAGGCAAGTGAAGGACCTGCTCAACACCATTCAGAGGCACGATGTGCTGACAATCCGAGGTATCCGAGTGTCCAACAAACTCGCTGGTCAGCCGGTCATAGCCCCCCTTGCGACTCAAATTAAGGTATTGGTGATGTGTTCAAGACGTGTCTTCTGTGTACAGTACTGTAACCGCTCGTATTGTATTTATCCCGAGATTCAGACATCAGTTAAGTATATCCTTAGCAGCTGTTTTTTTAGTATTTGCAGAGGAGCATATCTGTGATATCTTTTACTTTGTTCACTCGAACGACCATCACTGTGATATCTTACTTTGTTCACTCGAACGACCATCAGTGTTTTAACTAAACGAAACACGGTTGTATGAAGCCGATGCTTCTTGCGAAAATGCATGCATACAGTATGATGATTGTACAATCGATATGAATGTGTATATTGAAGCAGTTTTATATGGCTGCTAAGCAAAGGCAAACGTATGAGTCATGCGCCTGAAATGCTAAAATGTAAAGCGTTTAGTCAAGTTGTAAGCGATTAAGATCAATTAGTGGCTTTATTGCCTGCTAAGATTGGAGTAACTCACCCTATCTTCAAACGTTCTTAACGTATATGTATCCGGGTTGGACTCGATTATTACGGTTTCTGTCACATTCAGGTGCTATCACATTCAGGTGCTATCACATTCAATACTATCACAATCAGGTAACTATCACATTCAAGTACTATCACATTCAATACTATCACAATCAGGTAACTATCACATTCAGGTACTATCACATTCAATACTATCACATTCAGGTAACTATCACATTCAGGTATGCGTTCATGTAATCTTTGGAAAGTAAATGCGCACCTGCAGTGATAAATACTCCTGAACTGTCCTCCAAATATCCATAGCAAGTGTACAAGAGAAGTATATGGCGCAATGATTTTATACTCTTGCACCAGCATTGAACCTTACTTTCACCTCCTTGACAGATTAAACAACCGGTGTAAACGAAGAATACATGATTATTCCTTCAACTCTCACATCCGAAACCATCATTGCTAAAGATCTCTATTAGAATATTCACGAATTCTATTTCTGTGTTTAGTCTTGCGACCAGCCTTGGACCTAATATCGTGTTCAAGTTTTAGGTGGCCATGAAACATCATGCACAACCACTCTATTTCTTGTAGGAATGTGTAGCATATACTTCAGCATCTGACCGATGCATTCCCCTCCATCTGATGCCACAGGTAGAAACGGCAGTTGAGCGAGGCACGTCGGTGCACATAATCAGCGGCCATCCCCTGCGCTCTACCACCTCCAGCCCCGCCATTATGAGCACAATCGCCACAGATTCACATGCACAGCCTACCGTACCGTTGAACCCAAGTAGTACCGAACTTCATTCCAGTGCAGGGACAGATAGTTTAGGTGAGAGTGGGATACACGCAGCACGCCCACAGCCGTTGACGTCTTCGTATTCGCTGCCACAGCCTGTACGTCATCATTCCGAGACAGAGCCTGCAGGCGCACATGATAGAGCTGGTAAGGGTCACGGTGTCACATACAACACACGGGGTGATGATGACAACACACACGAGGCTACGGGCAGCAGGCACGCCAGCACAGACGACAAACATGTTAGTGCAAGCACCAAGAACATCGATATAGACGAGACATGCGCTGATGCAAACAGCAGACTCGAAGATGCACATAGCGTGTACGTTGAAACCGACAGCCCAGACTCGGGCAGCGGAACAGTGCATAACAGCAATACAGAGCTCGGTTCAAGCAAAGACCGTGTAGATACCGATAATGCGCACGTGGATGTGGACAGGGTAAACGTACATACAGGTGACAGACCCGTTAATACGGACTGTAGTCCACTCGACACCGGCGGCATAATCGTTATTCCGCGCACCACGCACATCGATGTTGACAGCATAGACCTTGATACAGGGTGTGCACACGACGACACGAGGAAAGAATTCGTTACAGCGAGCCACCAACACGCGAGTGCTAATAGTGGAGCCACATGCGAAGCCGATGCTATCACTACGCAACACAGTGAAAGCAGGTCGCGCAATCGGCCGACTGAGAGTGCAACATACAACGACCGGGCAAAACGTTTGCGTACTGAAACGGATACAGATAAGACTGGGCCGGGGGTGCGTGCCAGTCCTACCCGGACACAGCACACTAAAATCGGTTTAATGCCGAACACCAACTCCAGTCAGAGAACAACTACTGACGCCAGACAACCACCACACTCAGGTTTATGTTCGACGCCAAATGCTAACCACAGCCGTACAACAAATACGAATACCAGCCAAGCACACCACACAAATACTAACAAAATACCAAACAGCATTCCCAGTCGAACAACGACTGCTAATACGCGACAATCACCACGCACAAATCCCAATCCAATACTAAATACGCCTCTCAATCAACTGCCAAGGACAGGTCCTGCACAAACACACACAACTTCAAAGTCGGCGTCTAGTACCAATGCCGATCAGACGCCCATCACCAATCCCTCACACGCACCGCGGAAACGATATCACACAATAGACGAGATCATGCGGATGCCTCTGGCTCAACTGCCTCCCAAAGCGCGCGAGTTGAATGTGTATGGGGTTGTGTCGTGGGTTGGAAGCTGTCAGACATCCAGTACGGGTGAGTTCTACCGACAACTGTCGGTGGTGGATGAGACAGTGAGACAGGCCATGTGGGACAATGCCGCGCTGAAGGTGATGCTGTTTTTTAAGCAGAGAGCAGCAATGCCTGGCGATGGCTTGAAGGTGCGTACGTGGTGGAGTGCAGGGATATGCGTGGCAATGGAAAGTGCTATGGTTGCATTCAGTGACAGTGTGAATTATCGAAAGATGTGTGCGTGTGCTAATTCAACGAATCCCTACAGTCGCTTTGATGATGGAAAGAGTTTCGTTTAATTGTCATGAGATTGTTCTGGGAAGTAGAGGATTTACGCTCGGCGATGACAGGGACCCAGTGGATATCGGCGAATGTTCTAAATGTGTCGATGTGTCCGCGAATCGATAGTGGACAAGCATGCATACCTCTGTATGTGAACAAGTGCTTGCTACTTCATTGTCGGCGATGTCTATGAAGGGAAAAACCTCGAGTATCAGTTTGACCACTTGCATCTTGGTTGGTACACGGCCTTCGGTTGAGACCGTTCTGTCCCAATCGCTTTTATGTTGTGCCCAAACTTTGCCCTTTCTTGTCATTCTGCTGGCTTTGCGTGCAGTATCATCATTGCTTGGACAATCGATCCGTCCTCAATCAAACTCCTTGGGTTCCATTGTACACCAATACCACTCCCCATCGGTGCCAACCGCCATCACGTGTGCTCAACTCCTGTAGACGCTTTCATTCTAACAGGTTGGTGATGTAATTCGGTTCCACCGTGCGCAAATAGATCTGTACAACGGCAAACCGCAACTGAAGAAGTCCGGCAAGGCGTTCCAGTGGGTTTACTTCCCCATGCCTACGAGGCCGATTGCATTTGGCGCGTCGGGTACGTAACACACGACTTAGTATTCGATCGCAGAGCACAACCCAGTAGGATAATGGGTCAGAAATGTCCTGCTTTAGAAGCTTTTATGCACGTGTTAAAACCAGCTCTTTTCTCGCTCTCTCTATTGTTCCCGCGCATCGCTTACACCGCATGCGTACTGTGACTTATGTATCACGACGTACTTTGATAATTAAGTTCTTCTGAGGATGGCAGCGGTTTGTGTTAAGAGTGGTGTACCCTGCTTATGATTGAAGGATGAGTTCGAATTTGCATGAAATGCGACAGAAAAAAGGATGTCAGTACATTCTGAATTATGTCTATAAAAGGATGTCAGTACATTCTGAATCACGTGTCTATATACTTTCATTTACAGCTGAGTATTATAAGCTGTCATTTCTGCGTCATGCTCCACAACTTCATAGTTGGAAGGTACACCATCGCCTCTGCTTCGCGTGTCAGCCAAGATTTGTGCATGTTCATACCCATAATCATATTCAATCATTCGTGCGTACATGCACCTCTTCTGCCGTAAATTTCATACTGTAATATGTATCTCTCCGCTCATCATTTGAATACTGAGGCAGGCACTGTACATGATGTGCCCAAGTACTGTGGTGCAAGACCCAAGCATTCTCCAGGCTTGACTGCAAACTTCACAGACTTTGACAATCAGAGAGTGAGGGAATTGGTCGTGATGTTCCACAAAATCAGTCCGCCGTCTGTGCCGTCTGCCGGTGGCGGCTCAGCAGGCGACGACCAGTCACAGCACACAGCGCATCTGATACCAACACGTACTTCGGAAATCCGCAGTCTTAGGCATGACACCGTAGCTAGCTTGATCGTACAGGTCAGTGAGTGCTTCCTTTCTGTGTGGTTACAAGTCCTGAGCCCATCTACTGCGGAATTTGGAGTTTTAAAGACGTAACCGTAACTAGTTCAATCGTCCAGACGGTTGGTGTGTTCTTTTGCATCTGTATAATTCCGAACACGACAGCCTCATATTGCACTGAGAGTTGTGTTATGTTTCTCTCCTAAGTGCATGTCGCCACTCCCGTTAAAACTATCACTCAAAGGTACAATCACAAAGGTGCTATGCGTCTCACACCTCAGCATGGATGAACCTTTTGCACAGATGTGCTTCTCATTGAATAGTAGTATTAAGTAGGTGTGCTTGCGATATTTTTGCACAGATGTGCTTCTCATTGAATAGTAGTATTAAGTAGGTATGCTTGCGATTCTTTTGCACAGATGTGCATCTCATTGAATAGTAGTATTAAGTAGGTATGCTTGCGGATTTCCAGATTGTACATCCACCTCGTTTGCCCATGAAACCGAAGGATTTCGTCGCGAACTTCTTTGCATGGGACGGCACCTCCTTTGCCCATTCGGGGCTGAATCCAAAGCATAACAAGATTGTCCACGTTGCGGCCTTCCATGCGCACATGACCGTGGCCAAAGCATTCAAGTCTGGGGATTGGGCCGTAATCGTGGGCGGTAATATAACATACCAGGAGTCCAAGTCAAGGTATGGACACGCGGTGCTTTCTTAACGCCTTGTAGGGATGCTATTCTCTTCTCGGGCGCAGTGTCCCTACTGTTGCATCTGCTTTCTGCGCTGATTGTATTCATTCCAAATGTGCGAGTCTATTCTGGATATCGTGCATACTTGGTAGGGTATGTAGTTACATACACATACTTGGTAGGGTAAATAGTTACATACACATACTTCGCAGGGTACGTAGTTGCCCACAATTGCGTCGTAGGGCAAGTAGCGATACGAACGTGCACAGACCAACGGTGGCCTGCTGCGAGGTCATCTTGCTACCCTGTCGGCATATATTCACACAGCTTTTACGTAACATTTATAGCTGCTATATTCAATAGTGCAGCAGACGACCTCAAAAGGTCTGAAGGAGATCATAAACCAATCACTTGATGGTCAGCGACAGTGACAGGGGTCGTCTACGCCGTCAACCTTTCACCAAAGCAATTTATCTGTGACTATTTTATATAGACATATTCTTTTGGATTTCTACTTATGCGTGTTCGTGCGCCACTCTGGACTACCTCTAGATATAGAATCACTGTGAACGATCGCCCAGGTATCCAATTATTCAAATTGAGTGAGACCCATCCGTGCGTGCTGCCCATCAAAAGGTATGGTCTATCATGCTTAGCAATATTGAACTGTTATTTGGCAGGCGAAGCTGCATACTACATCTTCTTGTGTACTGTTTTCGAATAAATGCCTTGCTGTGGTCGAGTCAGACACGCTGCCATCCCTGCCTTTGTTCACTTCGGGGCGAGTTCTAGATGCACATTGACACGACGGCATGTATGCAATATGCTTATTCATCACAGGAAAATTCTGGATGGGAACATACAGTTCCCTGGAATTCCTGATGACCCAGCGGTATCTTGTGCAGGTAAGCGCAACCTGACTTAATCTATTGCCCAACATCCGTGTATTCCTTTCTGTCAAAACCTGGTCCGTGTGGGAAAAATGTTTCAGTGAATTACGCAGTTTTGTGTTGTCCGTAATACTATCTTCATGTGTTTTGGGTGCCGCCGACACGTCGTGCTAAAACATTTCTGTACTTTTAGCAAATACATTTCCTGTTCGATCTGCTTGTTGTTGCATATGAGATTTTATTCCGTCTACCCTAAATCTCTACCCTTTGATTGGCATCGATTCATTGTCCGCTGTTGCCGCTACAGGATTTGAAGAGAAGTGCTACACACCCATCCGAGATGTCAAGGCCTGTGAGAGTGTATGTGATGTTTGAATGTGGCAGTCATACTCATGCTGCAATGTGGCTTATTGCAAACTGATAGTAAGTAAAGATATGTGAATTGTTCGATCAACAAGGGGTTGGGGTGGGTGAAAGGGATGGTGCAACGTAGGTTATTGCCCGTCCGGCTTCAATACTAATGATAGGAGAAATGTGTGTATATTGGGGATGACGACATGCATGGTGTGATAGTATACTTCAATCCGGAGAAAAAAAACACAAAGCCTGCCCATACTTTCACACATGCGCTTTGTGTATTCCACTAGGTATTGCTGGGTCCTTAGCTGAGAACAAATGGCTATAGTTATCCTTCTTTCGCATGATGTGTATTAATAGCTGGTGAAATATATGGTTGGAAATTTGAGAGATTTTGTTACAACCGGACTGTCATTTTGCAAGTAGTTACCTCTACTATTTTGCAGACCGTTGACCAGCAGCTAGAATATAGCATCGTCATAATAAGTTCTTGTGGTAGTTGTTGCACCCAAATAGTTGGCCCACACCGCAAGATACATTTTGTCTCGCCTAAAAGTCGTGCACAATGTTCAGATTCTTGGTTGATGGGACTGAATATACCTTGGTTGATGGGATTTACTGGAACACCTCACGACTACTAGACTGGAACAACTCACGACTACTAGATGTACAGCCTGCACGAGTTGAAGGTCAGATGTATCTAGAGTGTTCAGATTCTGCTCACTTCCATTACAGGCGACAAGCAAGTACAAGATCAAGGGATTAGTGCAGTCTGTCACCCACGACGGCATTCGCAGCTGGCATCGGATCTGTCCTGCCTGTAGTAAAAGGTAGGTAGTTCACTGCGCTATTTCTTCATATCACATTGACCTTGCATGCACCACAAGACTTCTGTGGATTCTAGTACTCAAACATCGATAGTGTACGCGCTTGGTACTTATCCTGAGCTTGCACGCTCGAAGCTGCACTGCTGTTGCCTGCATTTATGTCTCAACAAGCTGGTCAATATCGATTTGTTGTTTATATGTTGGTATTTTGTCGATATCGATTTGTTTATATATATATATATATATATATATATATTGTTTGTTGTGTGTGTGTGTGTGTGTGTGTGTTGTTGTTGTGGTGCGTATATATATATAGTATATATAATATATATATATATATATATATATATATATATCGACGCGGTAAGAATGGGTGAGCCCAGTAAAAATTGACTCTTCTCGCAGAAGTATGACAGTTGTCTCTATCTCAAGTCCTTACTGATTACATGCAATCTCACAGTTACACGCCTACCCCCCAAGTCTCGGAAACCCTCAAGTGCTTGTCATGCGGCAACTCAACGATACTAAGTGTTTTATTTGAGATCGAAGTGAGAGATGTCACCGGCTCGCTGAAGGTCCTCGTTACAGGCCAAGAAGCAGTAAGTCCTGTAGCACATACCCTGCTATTACGTTTCTCTATTATACAATTATTTGATGCATACTAGCGTGTACGAGACAAACACACTGATTACGTATCGAACTCTCATTGCCACAACAACCACAGAAAGACTTCCTGTGCATCGACAACGACAAGGATGTGACAGCCTGTCTGGCCAATCTATCGCTGATTAAGCCTGAGGCCCATTTCGAGTGCTGCATTAAGAGTTATGAACTGCCTACGGGATATAGGGTGTATCAGCTGTTTCACACCTTGCTGTATGCTTCTCAACCGGCGCACTAATAAACTCAAAATCTCACCTACACCATACTCCCAAGAGTTTAGACTGGAATCTATTATTTTATGTATGTACTCCATTTTACTTATCACCATATCCGAGGAGGAGAATATAATTCCTCCCCCCCCCCCCCCCCGACGGGATTTCACAGTCTCTTTCTTCAGAAAATTATGGCCATTCTTGACGATTGTGGTAATTGAGACGCAATATGTGAGTGTTGATCTATTAAATAATCGCATTGCTCCCCGCCGCAACTAATAACACCTTCGACTTTAGCAGAATTTAACGATTATTTGCGTTATTCTGGACGGCACTGAATACAGTCTTCCATGCTTGCCAATCTGATAAAGCGGGTTTTGGAAATGGGTTTGTTATGAGTGTACAGCCTCACTAAGAGTTCAAGACAGCTGGGCTCATAAGTGTAGCTACATATATGACAACAAAAAAAGATATAAGTGCGGCATTAAGTGCAGGTACAACGTGGATTATCGTGCGAGATATTTGACCACTCCTTATATGTTATGTACGAATGCGTGTGCCATACCGAAGACTATACTATAAATGAAACTTTGGATTCTGGCCTGCGCCAATCTATTTCCAACCGAGCAACTCTCAAAAGAAGACCCATATCTGCGTATCACTTATATGTATATTACGACGCCGTGCCACCCCTATATTATCGGTTCAGTGATTTCATTGGCTTCTAGCCACTGTAGTAAATTGTCGAAGTGCATCAATAAGACACCATCGTCCGTCGTCGTCGAATGGGTCTCAATAGACGGCGTGAGACCGGCCAGATCCTTTTGTAACCTCTCCACAATGCGTTGACTTTTCAAATCGTGCCTACCCAACGCTATATGCCTGAACCCGCTATCCTTGATCTCGTCCGTGTCCCTGACTCCCTTCCGCACTTCCTGGAACACTCGTAGAAGCCTCCTCACAGCCGGCTGGGCGAGGGCCCGTGAATGATCGCGCAAGTCAATCCTGCCTGTCTGCAACAGTGACCGCCACCGACCGGCCATCTCTGGCAGGTTCGCCACCATATTATCGTACAGCTTATCGGCATACTCGCGAGTATTCTTCCGACTGATGAAAAGCGTCTCGTAGCATTCTAAACTGCGATTCAGCCCCTCCGCCTCGAGGTCCTCGAACATTTCACGGGCGTCTGGCAGCAGGGTGCTGTCTTCCGCCAATATATGATTAGCGTCCAGCCAGTGCGACAACGAATCAACATACAGCTCTAAATGACCCTCGTCCGTCACCACTGTAGATGTGCTTACCTCTGGCTCTAGCTGCGCCAGTTGTTCTTGCACCCTGGTTTTAAGCTCCTGACTGGTTGGCCCGTCCTCACCCAGGTCGATGCATTTGAAGTCAATGTCCAAGAACCCCATAGAATACCTTATTCCACTCCGCTGGTCTCGTAGCAGTCGTAACAGCCGCCGCACAGCAGGTCGGGCCATACCGATTGTGTGACCGTGCATGTCGAGCGCGCCATTGTCCTTCAGCTGCGTCCAGATATTGTTCATTCCGGGTGTATTCATTACCATATCGTCGTAGAGCTCATCTATTTCGTTGCATACGCTGTCGTCGCCATCATACTCGGTGATCAAGGACTCGTAAAGCGTTGTGCTTGAGGGTTTCCCGAGTGTGCTCATCACACTCAACAACTGCTTCGCTTCCTTCCAGTAGCCACCCTCGGCATACGCGGAAATCAAATGGTCGTATGTAAGCACCGTGAACGGAATCTTCAGATCCGCCATCTCTGCTGTAATATCAAACATTTGCTGATAATCTCGTTTCTTCCTACACGCCAGTATAATCGAGGTGTAGACATATGTTGCCTTCTCAGCCCCAAGTTCCATTGGCCTGATTGCTTCCTGCATTTGTCGCAGGAGTGCCATCGCTTCCTCTAACTTGCCATTCTGTGCGCAGGCGGATATTGTCATACCATACGCTTCATCATCGCACGGTACACTCTTGGACTGCATCTTCCGTAGTACATCCAATGATTCTTTCCATTTCCCATCTCTATCACATACACTGAGCACATCTATGTACATACTTTGCTTCCCTTTCACCCCCTGGGCCACTGCTTGTAGCAGCATGTCATAGGCTTCCACCGACCGCCCAGCTGTCGAGAACACTCGTATCGCATTGGCATAGGTGGCTGCGTTATATATAAAGCCAAGCTCAGACATTTGCTGCATCAGATTTGCGATGGTCATCCAGTCTTCACCTTTACTACAAGCAGAGATGACACTATAGTAGATACTTTGATCGGGCCGAACACCCCGCGCTGACATCTCTTGAAGTAGTGCGATCGCTGGCTCTCCCATTCCCTTCTTATCACAAGCATTAATAGCATGCGTGTATGAGAGCAGATCAGGAGAGACACCCCGTTTGTGCATCTCTTGTAGCACAGTCAACCCTTGACGCCATGCACCGTCCGTATCGCACGTCTGCAGGACTCTATTGTACACAGCAGCACTACAGCTGTAGCCGTAGATGTGCATCTTCTTCACCATAGACAGCGCATCTTTTCGCATGCCCGACTGAGCGTACGCGGAGATGGCGCTTTGGCACGCAATCCCGTTGAACCGTATGCTTTTACTTCGCATCTCTGTGACTACTTCGATCACCTTGGCCCACTCTCCCGCCCTGTCATACTCAGCCAGCATGGTGCCGTACACGTGTGAAGATGTGGCAATTTTGCCACTCACCAGCTCAGGTAGGGGTATTTCCATGTGTGATGTAACGTTCTCATCCTGAGATTGCACTGCAAGTTTCTCAGCTCGTGATACAAGTTTGTGATCATTGGTTTGCGTAGACGTGGCATGCTGAGATCTGCTTGCCGACACCTCTCGTACTATCTCAGCAGCTGTGCCCGCTAGGATATTCAGCGTAAAATGATCCCCGGGTATTCTGTCTAGTTCCATGCTTGCTTGTACGGCCCTAACATCGTCCCATCGTCGTTGTTGCGCAAACGCAGCCATCATGGTATTGTATGTAATCAGATTCCTGCTAACACCGACATCGGCCATCTCCTTGTACAACTTATACGCGCCTTCGAAATCTCCGGTTTTCTCCAAACATACGATAGCTGGATTGTAGTGCACAGCGGTGGTGACCAGCTGCGACCGCTTCAGATACTCCAATACCTCAATGCACTTATCCGGCTGATGTATAGTTTTGAATGTGTTGATAGCGTACGATGCCTCCTTTGAGGTCAATTCACTGCTGCTGAGAAGCATATCTATTCGATGTACGACATCACTGTAGTCTCCTTTCCGCGCTGCGCGGCGAACCATCTGTGGCAATTTCTGTGCGTGTTTTATGGCTCTTTGTGAAAACGGATTCTGCTTCTTTTGCACGTGCTTTTTAATACCAGGGTTGACAGCTGGATACAAACTCTCCTTGGCACGATTATTGTCACTATTTCTCGCAAGACTTACGCTATCACTTACATTGGAACTTGTCTGTATCGGTTGCTGATATTCTGGAGAGAATTCATGCGGGTGTGCTGTTTGCATTGAACTTACATCACCGTGTTGTTGAGTCACTCTGGTATGTGACGAATCAGTGCATAAGAACCGAAATCTATTGGTGCCTGATATATGATATGTGTGGTTTGTGGAAGGTAGTCGGAAAGTTCGAACTGTTAATATAGTAGAGCGGCAGCGAACTGGCACACAACTGTTGCCTAGCAACTCCCCAGACGCGCACCCTCGCACTATAGGGGCACGGCATCGTATATTTTGAACATAGTCAGCTCGTGTGAACAATGACCCAGTACGCCGGACCAATTGTCGCGAAGATATGTGATATAAGTCGCTTCGCATATTGCATGCAAACATGCTGATACGTATCATATGGTGCTACCAGAGCATTGATATACATAGATAAGGACTTATCCTGATATAAGCCTGTGTGGAGGTGTGCTCTCGGCCTCTCGCTGTAATTATTTATTTAGTGTGGGTGTCCTACTGCGGACGCTTATGTACGCCGCCAAAATTTGATGACTCGTGACTTAAGCTCAATACGTTGAAAGAAAGTGAAATATAGGACAATTCGAGACAGTTATGCCGCTTCAAAAAATGTTCCTATTTGTAAACCCATAGGACTATATTTAGGATAAACTTTTAACGTAAACACTTTTGCGTTTTAACGGTAAACATAGTGAGGTTAATAAAAAAATCAGTCGGATGTTCACTTTTTAAGGTTTTTCCAAAATATACCATGACGTAGTTTCGCACGGATCCTTATCATTTCAATCTGAACCTACTCTTCTCGAGGAACTATACTGTATACATCATACATATTTATGCACATACGATCTTTTCTAGCAATATACATATATATGCCATACATGTAGCTCTGTTTGGAGAATATAAACTTATTGGAGATTTACAAAAGATACAAAACGACAATTCGATGTTCACGGCTGTATTTGAGCGAATTTAGCATAATCTGCATCGATTGGGAATACTTTCCGCTTTACAAGAGCTCACTATGGCTGCCGTGGCTCCGACCGATTTGGTCTCCAACGTAAGCACGCCATACCATGTGTTAAGAGTAGCTGAAAGCGCTTTTATCTCAAACCAATTATAAGACCATAGTTTCAATGCGTCAGGTTGCAACAGCTCGTTTATCACTTCTACGGCAGATGAAATAACCCATTCAGGGACATACAAATATTAGCGTTGTAGTTGTAACAAATTCACGTAAGCTCAAATCATGCATATATATATATATATATATATATATATATATATATATATATATATATATATATATATATNT